CTGAAACACAAGACAAGGGCTTCAAAACAGCCATGATGATCATGTTCAATGCCCTTAAAGAGACTATGAATAAAGGTTTTTTTTAGTGTAGACTGAAAACAAAAACAATTGAAACAATAAAAGCATTTCAAGACACAAACGCAGAATTTAACAAATAATAAAATCACTAAAGAAAAACCGAGCTGAAATAAAACTGGAAATGAAAAACTAAGCATGCCATACAAAACCTCAGAGGCAAGCCTCACAAACATAGTAAAGGAATGGAAGAGAGAATGTCTCGTGTTGAAGACAAGGTAGAAGAACTGAATACCTCAGTCAAAGAAAATTTCAAACCTAAAAAATATCCAGTCACAAAATAGCCAAAAACCTGGGACACTATGAAAAGATCAAAGCTACAAACAATACGTAGAGGAAGGAGAAGAAACCCAGGTCAAAAGCATGGAAAATATTTTTAAACAAAATCTTAAAAGAAAATTTCTCCAATTTAAAGCAGTAGAAGCCTATCAAGGTATAAGAAGCATACAAAACACCAAACAGACAGGACCAGAAAAGAACCACCCCCCCACACACATGACACATAATAATCAAAACACTAAACATACAGAACAAAGAAAAAGTTGCAAGGGGAAAAGGATCAAATAACATATAAACTCAGGCCCATTCAAGGAACACCCAACTTGCCAATGGAGCAGTGATTCTCAACCTGTGGGTCGTGACCCCATTGGGACTCAGCTGGCCTTTTCCACTGGTCACCTAAGACCATCAAAAAGCTACATACTCACAAAATCTACCAAGAAGATATTTTAATTCTAGACACTATGCACTAAACACAAGGGCATCCAAGTTCATTAAAAAAAAAAAAAAAAAAAAAAAAAACACCAGCACCAACAACAAAACACTACCATAGCAAAAATCACCTATTGATTTTCACATACTGAGAGTAGGTGACTTCAATTGTTCACTGTCACCAACAGACAGGCCATCCAGACAAAAACAAAACAGAGAACTTCTGAAGTTAAATACTGTCATAAATCTAATGGACCTATCAGATATATATAGACTATTTTACCTAAACACTAAAGAATATACTTTTCAATGGTCCATGGAACCTTTTCAAAATTGACCACATATTAGGACACAAAGCAATTGCCAACATATTATTTTTAAAAAACTTGAACAAGACACTGCATCCTATCAGAATGGCCATGATCAACAAAACACATGAGAGCACATGGTAAGGGAATATGAGGAAAGGGGACCACTTATTTATTGCTGATGGGGGTGTAAACTGGTACAGCACCTGTGGAAGTCAGAGATTCTGGAGTACTCAGTCATAAATGTCTTCATCAAACTCCTCCCCTTAAGACTCAGGAACTGACATGGAAGAGGAGGTAAAAGACTGTAAAAGTCAGAGGTAATGTGTGACTTCAAGGAAAATAGCATCTTCCAGATATAAAAGGACTGATATACATATGAGCTCACAAGGGACTGACAGCACACAAAAGCCTACACTGGTTCAAACCAGACAAAATTCCAGCACTGAGAAGGGGAAGAGGACACCAAGTCCCACTAATCTATTTGTAATTGTTATCTGCTGGGAAGACAAAACCAGTTTTCCCCAATGGAGTGTCAGTGGGTATATCAAGCACACTCTAGAGCAGGTCCCAGGCTCAGCAATAATTGATCAATTCAAGTAGAATTCATATGTTTTGTGTACTTTTTGCTTCACTTTATTTCTTGGCTTATTGATTTAAAATTTTTTTTGTCTGTTTTGATTTTCTTTATTTTTGTGTTTGTGACAGAAAGAGAACATGAAGTTGGGTAAACAGGAAGGGAGGTAGGATCTGGGAGGAGAAAGAATATGATCAAATCTATTACATAAAATAAAATTTTTAAAAAATCAACCAACCTCTCTGTTTAGTTGCTTTTCTTCTGCTACTAATAAAACACCAATCAAAAGCAACCCGGGGAGGAAAGGGCTTATTTCAGTTTATAGATTACAATCCAATATAACAAGAATGAAGACAATCCGTAGTCCATAAGGTCAAGATATCTTTATTCAGATAAATATCAGCCAAACGTAAGCCAGATCATGCCCAGGGCAGCTGGGCAGCAAGGTCAGAGAGAAGTGGCCTCCCATGTGCTCGCCGTCCCTTAAGAACCTATCCCTCGTCATCCTGACCTCACCTTGACCATGCCTTGACAGGCGCGGTCATTGAGGGAAGACAGGGTAAAAGCTCCAGGCAGAAACCCAAAGACAGGAACAATGGGACAATGCTACTTAGTGGCTTGATCCCCATGGCTTTCTTAGCTTGCTTTCTTATACAACCCGGACTCACACTGTTCACAGTGGTCTGGGCCTTCCATATCAATCAAGAAAATGACCCCATACACACCCACAGCCCAGTTCGATGGCAGCAATTGTCAATTGAGGTTCCCTCTTCCCAGGTGACTCTAGTTAGTGTCAAGCTGACAAAAAATAACCAGCATGCCTCACAACCCCCCAAACTCACAACAAAGCCAAATAAAGTATCAAGAAGGGGGGAAATCAAGGATAGTAGAGGCTCTGGCTAGTGTTAGTGTAAGAAAGATCTGATCTACCAGCTTCTAAGAGAGGTGGCTTTAGTCTTTGGTCTGTGAAGAGATCAGCACATCACAGGGCTTCTCTTGCCCTACACTGTCAAAGCACAAAGTGCTCAACAATTTCTGTGGTGGTACACAGGTACGCACTCCCAGCAGGCTTCATCTGGTTGTTTAGTCAGCACAGCACACAAAGGCAGTGAACTCAAAAGGTGATTAAACATTAAAACACCAGAAACCAAGGGCACTACTTACTCCTGGTACTCTAGCAGCAATGATTTTTAGAATCAAAACCCAAAAGCCCAGTCATTCTTCCTGTGAGGGCCTTTCACTTAAAGAAACCACGTGTTTCCTCTTTCCTGTGTCCAAAATCTTCGAAATACCAACTCTTTTCACTTTCTAACTTCACATCTCAAATCTGGGAGTTCAAGTTTCACTCTCCCCTTTCTCCTTTCTAAGTAAGGACAGCATACATGAGTAGATATTTGAATGGTGGATGTGTTTGGTCTTTATACCACACCACTTGGCAAAAGCAAGTCTCAGGCTCCCAGAGTGGAGTGAGACGTACAAGAGCCTGTCACCTTCCTGTTCTGCTTCACGAAGTTGTCCAATTATCACACAGAAGAAGGGTAGCTCCATACGGGGTCAGGCAGGGATAAGACCCAGGACTCCCTCTGGAGCAGAGCACACTAATTGGGTAGACAGGCACATCTTTGAAATTGGGGATCAGGGTGGACACTTGTTTATAGTTTTTAGTGGACATCAGACCCCTCACACAGACAGGCTATTAATCCTATTTTTGTGCACCAGCCCATCACACAAACATTTGGGTAGCAGTAAGTGTCCAATAAATGCATAAAAAGGCTTAAACAAATGAACATCAGGGTTTTCATTCTATGAGATGACTTGTTGGGCACTATGAAAACATTACAGTTTAATTTTTAAATTATATTTATTAAGTATATGTGAGAGCCTGCACATATACACATGCAGGACAGAGGGTAATTTGTTGGAGTTGATTTTCTTCTTACTCTATGTTGGTGTCAGGGTTTGAACCAGGTTATCAGGCTTGGTGGTAAATGCCCCTAACTGCTGAGCAATCCTGCAAGCCTGAAAGTGACACAGTTTAATAAATACTGGGCTGCTATTCCTGCCTCAGGCTCCTGGGGTGGTGGGATGAAAAGTGAATATTCCTGGAAGCAACACAAGTGGGAACTAGGACGCAAGGAGGAGCTAAGGACCAAAGGCTTCAGGACAACTCCAGCCACATCAGGATTGTGCTTGTAGTTGGCCTGGTGTTAATGAAGCTCTGAGAGTTATATTACTAATGTACAGATTATTCCATGCTGCTTAAATCAAGCAGCAGAATTTTATCTCTGAGCTCCTATCATATTTTCTATTAATACTTTGATGTTCATTTCTTAAACAGTTCCACTAAGTTACTAAAATGACTTGGTTTTCCATGAAAAGAATGGAATAAATGAAAAGACTGACCTATTTTGCTATGCCCTATGTAACACTGGCTATGTACAACATAATAACTCTATGTGGCATTTGGTGCAGAGATCTACAAAGGAAAGAACACACAACATCTTCAAGAGCCAAATGGCATAATCCACTTAAGGTCTTCACTTTTTGATAAGACAAAAAATGACAAAGTATAGGAAAGGGGCAATAGGGAACCTGACATGGTGTGTGGGCTGAGCAGGTGGAAGGAGGTGAAGGCCAGGCTGGTGTCTTACAGAGGAGGGCAGACAACAGGTGAGCCTGAGCACAGAGAGTACTCCAGCTGACCCAGGCAGTGAGTCCCAGAAACCTCTCACATACTGCCAAGGGCTGCCTGGACCAACCACAGACATTTGTTTTGGCTCAAACTCAGTGTTGCCTTTTAGCACCAATCACCATCCTTTTCTTACATTAAGGAAAGAGCTCCCCCTCTGGCCTAGATGGAAATGGCTGCAGGGTAAACTAGAATTCAACAGGGTTGTAATAGCAAAATAAATAGTTAGTACAAACTTTCCAAACAGCCCCGGCTGAGGCTGTGCTCTTCTACAGTTTTCTCAAAGTGTCTGTGGACTGTTCATGGCTGGTGCTTTCGTCTGCATGACAGTTCTTTTGCTGTAGGCAGCAGGGCAGCAGAGGAGAGTCCAACACCTGCTACTTAGAGAGTTAAACTGCCCGATCCCCAACATATTTTTCTTGTTTACAGAAAACGAACATCAGAAGGGACACTTAACAATACAAAGGAAAAGAACCTTTTATTAACGCTAACAGCGACTTCAAACAAATGTTAACACCTTAATAGTGCTCAGTGTACCGGGGACAGATGGTTCCCACTCATCAGTGTCAGTTCCAAGATTCAGTTTGTGGATGCTTAGACAGGACTCCATGCATTTAGACAGGACAATGGTAGGAGTAGGTGGTGGAGGATAGCTATTTATTACAAGATACAGAAAACAGGAAAACCAGGGTCTGCACTCTCCCTGCAAAGAACCACTCCTTATGGCCTGCTTCCTGAAGTTCCCCAAATAGCACCACCAACCAGGGACCAAGCATGCAAACATCAGCCTATGGGGACATTTCATATTCAAACTCTAAAGCTGTACATTTAGCAAATCTCTACTGGAGGTTACAGAACCCTACCAGAGGGCTGTAGATATGACCAGGAACATGATGCCAGTTCAGAACTCAGAGAGCTTAGACTTTACTGAGGGCAGAGACAGAAATAAAGCAATTTAGTGAACTAATACACATTAACATTAAGTCAGAAGTAAACAGGGTAAGGTGGTTCAGAGTAGAAGAGGACTCTCTCACTACAGAGAGAAACACAGAGTCTATGAAAACTTCTGAACAACCCGAACAATATACTTCTAGAATTTTTAAAAAGCACCTTAACCTAGCCAGGCATGGCAACAGACACCTGCATTCCCAGCACTCAGGAGGTAGGACTACCTCCAGGTCAACTTACACTACACATTAAGACCTAGGTAAGAAACAAAACCACTATCACTAAAATCATCTTACCTCTTCATGCTTAATCTATGTGTGAGGGGGTTTCCTAAGTCACTATAGCACACTTCAGGGCAGGCACTCAGGAGCCCAGGCCCAGGGTTTCTGAGCATGTTCTGGCATCTGCTGAAGCTGCTGTCCCCGGGGGCACAGATGCTGACTCAGACAGGTAGAACTTGTCATATGTTAATGCTTATCTCTTCTTCAAAATTCCACTTGATTAAAAAATTAAAAAGTAAACAGACATTAAAAAACAAACTTCAGAATAATAACCATCCAAAGACAGCATGTACCTACTGAGCATGCCATCTTCCTGCCACAATGCCAATATTTGGGGATTAACCAGACTGCATGATTAAGAGTTAACTGCATGTTTTAAAAACTGGAAATAATAACTACTAATTTTCAGTGCTAAAAATCATGTAAAAATGCCTTTCCTAAATAGCCATGTATATATTTCGACAACAGGGAAAATCAATCAAGCTGGTGTTGAATAATGACTATTTATTTAGCTTTCCTACTTCAGACATCGGCTATATTTCTGCTGTCAGACAGGGCTTATGGCTCCTTGACTGTCATCATATTTGTCTTGTACAAATTACACCAGCAGCAAAGTCAAACAATAAGCATATTTGGTTATGTTAGGTTAATAATTGTATTATAAAAAAAAAGACAAAACAAAGCAAACAAACAAAAAACCCAATGCTCAATACCTGGATGATGCATCGGTAAGACATCAGACTTTTAAAGCAGACTACACATTTTGCACCAATTTGAGAAAATGTGCCATCTTGTCAGCAGGAACTGTGTAACTGGGAGAAGAACCTGACTTCTGGAAAAGTAGGTTCCTACCATCACCAGGACTGTTTGGGCAGAAGGGCAGCTGAGAGCCATTTCCATCTGGGTTCCTTCAGCAACACAGGGGTTGAATCTTCTAAGTTGGCACTTCTTGCTCTGAACTCTACACTGTGACTGAACCACTGATCTGACGTTGGCTTCTTTGTCTCCATTGTATTGTCTATACATTACACTCTGCTGGCCCAACTATATCCCACAGTTCTCAGTTGCCATAACAACATGATGCTCTCTCTGGGGTTAAAGCCTGGAGCTTTAAAATAATAAAAAAAAAGAGAAAGTCACCATGACATCCCACCTCCTCACCCCACTGTCAAATCCCAAGCCACACTGGGCCTATTTCATGGATATTTTTCAGTTTATTTCCTTCCCCCAAAATGTCCATTCTCCAACAGCCAGGGGTTTCTTTAACTTAACCTTTACCACTGCCCTCTGCTTAGACATCTGTCCTTGACAGTCAAGGGACACTATCAGAGCTAAGTCTGCCTCAGAACACTGTGGCTCCTTACAGTCCTCAAATAAATGCCCAAAGTCTCCCCAGTGTCTGCAGAGCTCTGCACAGCTTGGTGTCTACTCTTTCCAGCTGCATTTGTATCTCACTACTGAACTGAACCTATGTGTCTCTACTCCCCTGCCCTGTCACAGTGCAAATGGCTGCCAGAAAGCAGAAAAATTTGGCCCCACATCATGACCCCAGTCTAATTATGAGTAGGCCATCAATATTTACTAAAATCTGTGATGTACAGAGTCCCCATATAGTCCACAACAAGCCAGTTCCCTGATGACCAACATACTGGTTACAGCTAAAAGTGCAATAACAAGTGTGACTGATGAAATGTGTACTTTCTCATCAGCTCAGTTTTTATCTAGTGCCTTTTTCTGTCCCAAGTCCCACCCAGAGCACAATACACTGGACTTGTCTCTACAGGCTGCTATGTCCCTCCTTATCCACAACCTTAACAGTTTTGCTGATTGCTGTCCAGGCATGAGGCAGAATGATTTCACAGTTTTGGGTTATCTGATAAACTCATGATAAACTGAGGATGTGACTTGGGGATAGAAGTCAAGGGGCAGTACCTCTCTCCTCATCAGCGACACTGTGCCCTCACAACTTATCACTGCCAGCCATTCCTCACCATCTGGATGAGATGCTCTTTGCCAAAATTGCGATTAAAGTTCCACCTGTGCCCCTCTCCCAGGGAATTTGAGGGTTGTGAGTGGGTTCACATGGAATTTGGGGGTTGTGAGTGGGGAGGGATGGTGCCATTTACTGAAACGCTATACACATGTTGAGAGAATTCCTCTCCATGGGGAATCTGTCTGCTCTGTCCACTCACTCCTTCCACATTTGTGTCAGTGTGGACACACAGATCCATATATGAGGGTCCGAATTTTTACCTTGGCATGGCACATTGATGAAGATGCTCAAATTTCTGGTTTTGGCCACTGGGGGCTCTGTGTCAGCAAGCTCACTGTTTATGACACACTTGCTACTCCTGAGTGTGCTTTGGGCACACTCATTTTGTGGCACCAAAGATCTTCCTAGATCATTTCCAAAGTCTTCCCTGCTCTAGGCCTAGAATCAGTCATTTCCCCCAAACAGCCCTGGTTCCATCTCAGGGAGGATGTTGTGAACTGAGAGGTCTGCGTGGATGCTATAAACCTGTCTCTGGGGTTTGGGGGTGGTATGACCTGGTGTCTGGGAGGATGGTGCGAACCTGTGTCTGGGTGGATGGTGTGAACCTGTATCTGGATGGATGATGTGAACCTGTATCTAGGTGGATGGTGTGAACTTGTATCTGGATGGATGATGTGAACCTGTGTCTGGGTGGATGCTATGAACCTGTATCTGGGTAGATGGTGTTAAATTGTGTCTGGGAGGTTGGTGTGAACCTGAGTCTTGGTGAATGGTATGAACCTGTGTCTGGGTGGATGGTATGAACCCATGTCTGCATGGATGGTGTAAACCTGTCTCTGGGTAGATGGTGTGAACCCAAGTCTAGGTGGATAGTGTGACCCAGTGTCTGTTTCCGTGCTGGGAGTCTTCCATGCCTGGTCCAAAGAAGTCTTTTAAGAAGAGTAAATATCTGAGTTGATTGCTTTTATTAATTCCCTTGGGGTGACCTTTGGGAATCTAAGCCATAATCCTTTGGTTTGTTCTGATGAATATAAATAATATCTAATGGCTTAGAAGAGATGATTCAGAATTCTTATGGCAAAGTGAATGCATTTTTGTCCCTATAAAGATCTGCAGAAATGCTAAGTAGTAAATGAATTTTAATCAGCTTAAGGTCAGGCCTTGCGGGCTTCCAGACCTTGGCTCTGTGAGTCACTTGGGAGTTTCAGTTTCCTGAGAATTGACTCATTTATCTCCTATTTTCCTCTTATCTGATCTTTAGAAGACTGTCAGTTATCTCTGCAAACTGCTCTTGGCCATAGAGACATCAAAATAAAGCTGAGCTTGTTTGTAGAAGGGGCTGCAGTCAGAGCACAATGGTTTGTAGGATCCAGGGCTTTGGCCAGTCTTTCTGCTAGGGTCTGCTACAGGTGGCAAGGAAGTGAGAGGCTTTGCCATGGAGTGCAAAGTGCTCAGAGGAAGCCAGACGAAGGAGGGTTCCTCTACAGATACAGAAGCCAGATGGGACTCTAAATGGCAGTAGGAAGAGTTGGGTTGCAACACTGAAAAAAGCAGACGACACAGGCACGGGGCAAACAGGAGCCCTCGAGGCTTATGTCACACCCCATGATCTATAGATCAATTGGGTTGGAATTCTTGCAGGGAGGCAGCAGTGGAAGGGTGTGGATCTTGGCTAAGTTTCTTTATAGAAACAGAGACCCCTGTTACAGGGAACTAAGGGGAGTGACACACACACACACACACACACACACACACACAAAAAAAAAAAAAAAAAAAAAAAAAAAAAAAAAAAAAAAAAAAAAAAAAAAAAAAACACCTGGCATGATGACCTTTCAGTAGTTAGTAGAAACTCTGGAAAATTAAGTAAAATCTAAATCCAAAAACTCAGCCAGGTCACAGAGCACACAAGCATAGGACAAAGTCTTAGAGAGGATGGGGTGTTGCCTTGCACAAGGGGCTCATCTGTCACTCACAAACTGCTGACACAGTCTCCACCTCCAGGACTCATGGCCATTCTTCTTGCTGCTGGGAAACAGTTGGGCCTCCCAGGAAGAGTAGACTAGCCCTGGCTGGATACTCACCAGCTCAGGGCTCTCTATCTTTTTAGAAAACTATCCATATTCTAAAACAATAGTAAGGAAACTCTGGATCATGCTCATCACAGCACAACTTAAGAAAAATATTTCAGTATGGATCTTAGAGAACAGCAACATGAACGAAAATGCTGTGTCTTCGTGTTTTAGCTTAGGCAAAAGACTTGGAAATTTGACATTAAATATAGCACAGAAACTCAGCAGGGTGTAGGAGGCACAGCCAGAACCTTCACTCACACTACACAGAGGGGGCGTGGCCTTACCTAGAATGGTGACCAGAAAGTGGGCTTCAGTCAAGCTTTGCCATACCATGTTCAGCTGGGGGAGCTTCATTGTTAAGTAAGGTGCTTGTGACACTTCTCTTTATATGATCTATGAATGCATTTAAAAATCCACCAGGCCAAACTGTCTGGGAAGCTCTGACTCATTACCACATGCATGTGTTTGACACACACACACACACACACACACACACACACACACACACACACCTCCACCAGACAGTAGAAGGGACGGTACTTTCAAGTCACATTTCATTTTATCTTACTGAGGGAGACTGATTTTGCCAAGAAACAGTGGCAGACCTAGGAATTGAAAATTCAATTCTGTTTTGCCTCACTTCTCCAATGAGGGTGGTGGGGGGAGATACTGAGGGGAAAGGCCCAGTCTCAGAACAGCCCACTATCTCCTGTGAGAACCACTGGGTGATTCGGAGGCGCCTAGCAGCTGGAGTGGCAGAGGTGGGACTGCCTAGCAGTGTGCCTTCACTGATGAGCTGAGGCAAATGAGGCAGTAAAGAGAGGCACCACTGCAGACTCTCTGGGGTTCCCTTAGATGGGGTGCAGGCCACCGAGGTCTGTCTGTCTCCAGGGACTGCAAATGCCAGAGGGACTAGGTGGTTAAACAGACGGCTCACTGTGGAAAACATAAGGATTTCAGGGGCACCTGCTTTTTAAGGGGAGTGTTTATTCCTGAGGACTCAAAGCCTTCCCTGACTCTCTAAAGCACCCGTTTCAGGGTCTCTGAGTGCCTGAGGCATGAGGCCCTGAGAAATGGTGCAGGGGCACACCTGAAACCCATTCTTTCCTTGTGGCAGCAAATAAAGGCCAGGTTTGGTCAAAGAAGTCTGAGTCCTGAAGCAGGCATGTTATTTATCTTTTGCTATCTAATTCTCCATATTTAGAAGCAGTTAAATACATAAAATACCCATGAAAATGTAACTTCTAAGTAAGTAAAATCAACTAGATCAAATATGCTTTGGGAGTTAAATGACCCCCCAACTTTGTTATAGCTGGTAGGCTCAAGGGTAAAGGAGCCAGATAGAGCAGGCTCAGCTACTGAAAACCCTTAGTGTAGCCATAGCTGAGGCAAGCAAAAACCCCGCCTGCCACCCCCAGTCAGAGCAGGACCCAGCTGAAACACAGTGGGGATGCAGATGGCAGCTGGTAGAATGTGCTGTAGCAACCAGGGGCAGTCACAAAGTCTTCATGACCTTCCCCCACCTCTGCAGAGACCTGTGGACCTGACTACAGGATTCTGGCAAATTTTGGCAGTCTGAGGATTCTCCTCCAGCCATGAGGCTTGACAGCTCTTTCTTGACTGTCCTATTTCTTCATCTTATTTGCAGACACACGTTCAGCCAGTCAGGGCCCACCTTAGCAGCTAGCTGTATACATGTTGGCCATCTGAAGCTGGAAAACCACAACAGTGGTGGGGCCAAGTGACAAGGTTTCAGGGCCCAGTTCCAAGCCAGCTCCCTCACCAGAGAAGAAAGACTCGCCCAGAGTCTCCTCACACCTGAGGCTTCTGCCCCAGGGAGGGAGCTTGAGAGACTATCTGCCTCCAAGACAGGACCAGTGGCTGCAAGCAGAGGGGATTTGTCCCTGCAGTTACTTCTAGGGTCAAGACCTGCTGGAGTCAAGAGACTAGCTGCTCCCGCTATTTCTGAAGGTAAAGTGCAGACTTACTCTGCAAGGGACTGCTCTTCACTGGCACCCAGAAGCCCTGCCATACTCCAAAAGTTTTTGAGCTGTAACACTTCTCAGAGCTTCTCTTATCTGGCATACCCCTGCAACTGAGAATTCAAACAAGTTTCATTCAAACCCCACCTGGTATTCTGTTTTGTCTTGTCCCATGCAAAGCTTGTTGGTCAATACTGACTTGATATGAAAGCATCTCCCATTTGTACTCTGGGTATCTACTCACTGCATTCTTGGAGGAGGGTGGGATAGGAGCCGGGGCGGGAGGTGGGGGGGGGGGGGGAGGT